CTCTCTCTCTCTCTCTCTCTCTCTCTCTCTCTCTCTCTCTTTATCTCGCTTCCATCTTTCTCTCTTCTGGGTTGTTGCAATTAACCGCAGAGTAATTAAAATATTTGAAGTTGCCTCGTTCTCGGTCGTGAAACGCGTTTTCTGCGTGCCGAAACATTGGTATAACTGTATGTTCTTTACTCGACATCGACAACGCGAGGAAGTAGACGAGACATCCAAAGAAAAAGAGAGAGGGAAATATGCTGGGTGATTAACACAGACGTTAATGAACACCGCTGCCCAGCCGCCGTTCCACAGAATGTCGTCGGTATCGATTCGACTGCGCGGCAGGAAACAAAGCTTTCGACACAAAGATCCCTGTTTACTACAAAATACAAATGCTATGCCAAACAAATCACATAAAAAAAGGGGAAAATTAAAATTTTTTTAAATAAAATAGTTCAAAGAATTAATTTTCGATGGAAATAAATATAAAGAACTTGGTTAAAAAAAGAGAGATTATCAAAATAACTTAGAAAATTTGAATATGTAACAGTATCATTAAACAATTCATAAAATATGTAAGTTTTAATGTTAATTACAAAAAAAAATAACATCATAACTATTAAAATTAAAGATAATTTTCTTTTTTATAAAATAAAAATTATCCGAAACAGCTACATAAATACATGTTTTAATCGTTACGTCAAAATATCAGAATACTTCTGTAAAACGATAAAAACTTTATATATGTGTAAGTTAATGAAAGTTCTTTAAATTTTTCGTTAATTTTATTAATATGTATTTCTCGTTTAACGATAAATTGTAATCTGATTTAATGGTTTTATTGAACTGTAATAATTCGTGATCGGCAATCGTCAAAATAACAAATTCCAGAGTTTAATTTAAGCCGGATCGTGCCTTAAAAAATCTTCTTTCAATACACGTCCTGCGTTATTAAATCTAAAACTTAAATCCGCTCATTTATATATCCTTGTCACATATGTATATCCTTGTCGACTAATAAAAGTTGATTAACACAAAAAGATCAGTATAATTGAAACGATGTTTAAATTAATTCAATAAATTTATAACTTTGTGAAATACCAGTCATTAATAAACATGCTGCGTAAATAATATTTAGATAACAAATATAAAATTGATTATTATTATTTTCAATATTGATATTTTGATTATTGATGAAGCCTGTGATGATTTCAAATTATCAAACCATGATAAATGAGTACCATCGATTACTATAACAGATCTTGTATATATCTACAGAAAATCTCTACGGATTCGTAAATCACTATTTTACCGACGTTGGGCTATACAGTAAGCTGATGGTCGATTTCAGAAGACCGGATTGGAAATAGTCACTGTAGTCGGTGTAGTCTACGGTTACCTATTAACGGTATGGTAAATAGGATCGATTGGAAATTTCAAAGATAGAAAAAATGTGAATCTGCATGAGGGTAAAGATTATTATTAAAAAAAAAATCTAAAATATATATAAATTCAAAAGATCTTAAATGTTGAAAGTTTTAGAAACACTTAAAAAAAATTGAGAGAGAGAGAGAGAGAGAGAGAGAGAGAGAGAGAAAGAGTTAAGAAAAGTACTATACCTTAAATAAAGAAAATCTAAATTCAAATATAAAAAATTTCAAAAATTAACCGAACTCGACAATTTCAAAAGAGTATATTAAAACAAAATCTTCTTGTCAACATAGTGCTTTCATCATTAGATAATCATTATGATACCTAGTTGATTTTTCTATCGAAAGGAGTGACTTACCTGGGCATATCCTGCAGCTGCTTGGCTCGCTGTTTGTAGCGTGACAGGGCGAAGAGCAAAGCCAGTACCGGCCACAGGGTTGATCCTGCCGCCAATTCACCCGGGTTCACGGCTCCTACATCCGCCCCCAGAGCCCGCAGTGCTCCCACGCACAAACTCACGTTTTCAACCTGTACAACACAGATGCGAAGCTTTGTTATTGATCGTCTTTTGGTTTCATAACACGTGATACTTGCTGCTTTTCTTGTAAAAGTTTATATATTTTTTATTCTTAATAATTGAATATTTTCTTTTTGCAAAATTTCAAATTTTAAAGTTTTCCAAATTATTAAGTTAATTTGTAATATTATATATTTTGATCGTAAAATATAATATGTGTATTTTAATTTTTTCAATGTAAGTAGGAAGAATCAGTTCCCTTATCATTTCTGTATAAATAAAGATGCAACTATCGAAAATAGTTTTCAATATCAAAGAAAAATCAGTTTTGCGATCAAAGACCGAATGGAGGTATAGATAACATCCTTTACAGTAAAGAAGAGTGGGAGAGGAAAAGCGGAAGAGTATAGTATGTCCTCGAGGAGATGCATACAAAAGCCCTTGCTGACTTTTCACACAGTACACCACACGATACATATAACGCAAGAGTGAAACGTGACCGCCGCGATCATAGCTACCTTACACACGCGTGCCTACCGACCTCTCGTTTCCATTGTTTCTGATCCCGGCTTTTGCCCAGAAAACGAGCTGTGCCATGGCATGAAAGCACTATAGAGTAGTACGAGAAAGAATCGATGACTCACCTGGTCATGGAAATATAGGTATCACCTTATATTAATTTAATCGTAAAATTTATTACATAAGAAAATTAGAAAGCATTAACAAAAAAATAAAAAAAAACGAAGAAGTAATTTAGAAGTCAAAGACATTAACTTCAAAAATTTATTTATATCGATATACTTATACTTATGATATTTCAAAAAAATTAAAGATAATAGAAATAATTTCGCATTAAAAAATTAACACAAGTAACATTTCTAATACATTTTTATTCAGTTGTAGAATTTAAATTAGATCCGGTTAAAAAATTTCAATCAAAAAAGTTACGTAAAAAATAACTGACATTAAAAATTAAATAAAATATGATAGACTTAAAATTACAGCATGAGGAATATAAAAAATATTTTGTAATTCATTTATAGTTTTCAGACCTTCCTCTCTGTCTTAATCACTTCCTTTGACAACTTAATCGGAATGCGTCACATCACGCTACTTCATTTTTTTAAGTTAGAGAAAAAAGAGAGAGAGACAGGGAGAAGGAGATATTAAATGTTGTATTATTGAGACCTGAATCCTTATCACGATCCATTAGTCTCGAAAAAGGATACCTCCAGAAAGACTTACAGCTCATCGCAAAAGGCGAACTTTACCGTGAGTAGTTTCAAGTTATCCTAGTGAGATGACAACCGTAAATGGCAATGATGCTTTTTAATGTATTCCGCTATCTCAGATGTGTAAAGGATCATCATCGTAAAAAAAACCGCATATGTGGTTCGTGCTTTATTGCGATCCAGAATTACGTATTTCTTTAATCAGTTTCAGCAAATTTTCGATTTGGCACTCAACATTTTAGTCTACCATTTTTATTTTAATTAAATATTTAATACACGTGTACAATATCTTAAATAACACAATTTATAATTGACAGTTAGAAATTCGATTCGTCTTATCACATTTTTGAGAAATTTTCTATTTCAATTTTATCGATTAAAGTATCAAAGTTAAGTATATCGAAATATATAGTGTATACAATTTTATCATTAACATTTATCTGTTAATAAGTTAGTTTTTAAACATCGAGAGAGAGAGAGAGAGAGAGAGAGAGAGAGAGAGAGAGAGAGAGAGAGAGAGATTTCTAAACTGCTTTAATAAACAAAAACGTATAATTTAGGAAAGAATTAGGAAGATTAGTTAAATCGGAATTAATTAAATGCTGATACAAATATACGCTACTGTTTACTGTAAGTTATAAGTATCTGCGAGTTACAATCCCCTTCGGAATACCCCTGGGGCCCGCGAGTCTGCAGTCCCAGAGAAAAAGGAGAGAGAGAAGACAGAGAAAGAGAGGTCGCGAGGTCCAAATATGGTGGGAGATATCCTCTTATGGTAACGTCTTCGCTTCTGCGGTTCACGAGGGAGAAAATGAACAAGAGAGAAAAGGAGTGCCATAGAAGGACTCTTTTTTTCTTTATACATCTTTTTGATCTTTTATATCGACAATGATGAAATAATATATTACATTATATTTGTCTTTTCGTTCCTGAGGATACTACTATAAAGAAACATTATATTTTATTTTAAAAACTAACAGCATCAATTTATAAAGTATCTTTAACTATAGATATGGAAAATTATATTGCCATAATCTGTTGCTAAAAGTTTTCTTATTATTACAGTTATAATCATTTTGTTTTTTAAATACCTATGAATTGTGCTTGATTAGTGTAGCTTCTTTTTCAATGACTTTTTTAATTAATGTTTCTTTATAAAATTTCTTTGCAGAATTAATAAATTAATAACAAAAAAGCCAATGATTAAAAAAAGCTAATACCTAATGAATTGAAAACATACACATAATATCAAAAACATAATATCAAAGTTTACAAAAAATGTTACAAAAAAAAACATTACGCATTTTCTGCAATCCCAAAATGATAACGTGGATGGATAGAATATTTTTAGATTGTTCGTGCCTTCTATACTCTTCCCATCTTACCTAGTTAAATAGTCATCGCCCTTTATCTACTTTCTTATTGTGAACCATGTACAATCTATGTTATACCGCTTACGCGATAATGTTAAAGAAAGTTTCCAGAAATAACTAAAAACTAAACACAAGTATATAAAAAGTCATTTCTCGTGTTTTCAAGTAAACATTTGACATTTTAATGAGTAAATAAAAGACTAAATAGCAGTATAAATGGCTTATATGAAGATATTAAATTCCTTTGACATATTTCATAATTATTAAATTTTCAAAGATAATCAATGTAATATTAAATCATTATAATAATTTGATAATGTAATACTTAAAATATCCCATAACGCGTAAAATTAATTTAACATCTATAATTAAAATGCATTTAAATCGCACGTAATAAAATTTGCAATTAGAGGTTGTGGTGGTTTACGGAATTCAAGATAAATTTCCTGGAAACTTCTTTGCCAAACGAACGCGATTTAATATAGTGGTTTGAGAAAGAGCGAAAGGGAATTCCTGGCGAAGTTAACCTGATTTTCTAAGACACCTCTGAGAGAGAGAAGATGCGCAATGTCCGCGTACGACATCCCGGAAATGGAAGCGGCAGCTGGACGACCCAATGCTCGTTAAAACCTGCAATTAGCGCGATCCTTCAGCTTCGAAACGGCGAAACGAATCCAGTCTTCGTTCAGCAGATCTAATTGATTACACTCGCCATAATGGACATACTAATTCCAAAATTGCGTATGTTTAAATATGCGGAAATGTATCTTTTAAATTTACCAGAACATTTAGCTGTTGAAAAGTATTCAATTATTATAAATATTATTTCAACTAAGAGATGTAATTAACAATACATAATTATTATTCAATTAATAAAATTATTTATTATAAAGTATAAATTTAAAATGTAAATACTAAGAAGAGAATTTATCTATTAGGCTTAAATAAAAAAAAACAAATCTCAATTTGCTTAATTCCATGTGTGTTTTTCATAACGTTTAGTTTAAATGAAGCTATATGTGTGAAGTTATATAAAGTAAACTCGACTTTGCGTTAATTATTTGGTTTACAACATTACGGAGAAGTTTAATTAATGCCGTATTGTCATCATTTATGGAATTTCCGAAAGCTGGGTCGACGGCCCTTTTATTCGAGGCAAAGAAAGAGTTTGACTGGAAGAAGTGTGGCGGATCAATTTCGTGATTAGTACAGATTACCGTTCTCCTTGCGGGTTTAATTAAAACTATTGCTGAGAACGTGCTTCAATTTAGTCCACATAATAGTGTGAATTCGGAATTTTTCGCCGAAGAAAATTATTTACAGCCTGTCTGGCACTCGTTCTCATTAAAATTATTTAAAAATCAATCGTAAAATGATGAACATGCAATATTGAACTAAAGTAAGATTAAAAAATCAACTCTGAGGATAAAAATCTGGGGATAATGCGATAACAAAGTGATAATTAAATTAACAATAACGTAATAAAAAAAAATTATTAATTTATGAACTCTTTATATAGAACAATTTCATTTTTGTCTTATAAATATAAAAGAACAATGTATATTATATGTCAAAATAAATATGTAGACACCTAAAAATATAAAATTCTGAATATTTGAGAATTCCCATGTTGTTAAAATTAGAAAATCTGAATCTTTGAAGTCGAGATATAAAAATTTCTAAGGTTTTATATATCAAGATTAAAGGATAAAATTTTTAAGTTTTTAGGATTTGATTACAAAACTAAAGATAGAAAAGTTGCAATACTATCAAAATTTCGAGTCACCCGGTGTAATTCAGTAGAGTCCAAACAAGCCAGCTTAATGGTTACAACGACCGACAGAATTCGCGGAATGTATAACGGGAGCATGATAATTTGTAGCGAAAAATGAACGGTTCATGAACGGCTTTGAAAATCTGGAGGATCTCATAATAATCGTTCATAGGATTCTTAGCAAATCGTGCGTATTAATTCGTGCAAAACAATCCTAAACACGTAAGAATTGATTTAGAAAAGATGATATATCTTGAAAAGTTATGAAATAAAAAATTTTTACGGATCAAATTTGACCAATTTATTTTATATATCAATCCCTGCAAAACAATTATGTTCATTTGATATAATTTTTTCCAAGTGCAGTATATACGAGATTCTTGTGCGGTGAGACATCTTCGAAGATATCCTCGATTCTCAAGAACTTATAAATTCTGCGAAATTTAGATTATAAAGAAATTTATTGATTCTTCTGTGACTCTTTCACTTCAATTCAGGTATAGGAATTTTAAAACTTCCGGATTCTTTAATCTTTAGTCTGTCGCTTCCATTTTTGTTGAGTCACTGGAACTCAACCTATTTATTAATTAGATTTCGCGAACATTGACATCTCAAAATTGAATAATTTTGAT